TGTGTCAGGTTTTCTGGGTGGATGATATTGGGCATGATATTGGGCCTTTGATTGGATTCTGCTCAAGTAAGATATAGGAATTCGCGGCTGTGTGCACGGGGAGGTCGATAGACGGAGAATCAAGTCTGTGGACTGTCGATAGTCAGTATATATAACGGATTCTCGTCTAAATTGGATTTCGGTCAGATGAATCCATACGAGAATGTGAGCGGGTAAGCATATCCCAGCGCAGTCGCATGGTCGTCTCGCTCGGGAAGCTTTTCCCAAGGCAACCATTTTCCGAAGCCTGGTAGAGCAGCTCGCAGAGCCAGTGCTCTTTCCAGCTTGCAGCGGCCCTTCCTTATCTGATTCGATAACACTTCTCCTCGTGTGAATCACCCCAGGGTAAGCTTCTGGGCTGTTCGTTAGGTTGTTCGTTTCGCACTGTGCCAAGGTGAAGGCTTGTTTCTTGCTGGCTGGGCACAAATTCGAGATCCGCGGATTACGATTGCTAGGTAAGCAAGTTAGGACTTGTGAAACAAAGTTCAACGGCGGAAGGGTTGTTGAAGCTGTTGTTGATATCAGCTTTAGCTTATAAGTTGGTACAGTAGTTGGACAAGCTGTCACACAGACAGAGAAGAGAAGAGAAGAGCCTACGGATGTAGAGGGTTACGCTGTCAACGACCGAAGGATAACGTTACTGCTACCGATACAGCATGTGGCTTGCAATGCCTTGGGTTGACATCACCGAGAGTCCCTCATAGCTCGCAGGACATACAAGCACTGCCCAGCATTTCGGAGCCCGCAGTGACACTGTGACAGCAGCAACGTTTGCTGATGAGGGCAACACTGGTCGACAGCACACCATGGGTTTGAGCAACCAGGAGGGAAAAGTTTCAGGCTGCAGCATCTGTCGACACTTCACTATCTCGGCGACTTCTGCCGCTCTGTCGATTGCCGTCACGGTGTTCGCTTCGGTGACACTGAGACATACATCGAGGGTCATTAGATTCGCAGATTCTCCGCAGTGCGACCCTTGATACTTTGTTATTTTGGGCAACTCTTTTTTTGGGCTATCGCAGCTTGGGTATCATCATGAATTGTTAACACAGTGACGAAAGGTTACACTGCCGAAACTTGACTACGCATGAAGTTAGCCGTGAAAAAGCTCGTGAAGAGCTTGCGCATTGTGCAGCTAGCACGAGTTGCCATGTAGACGTTAGCAGAGCTGGCCACAGCAAAGTCAAGATAGTTGTCGCAGTACCTGAAGGCACTCTCCACTCGTTTCTACTACATATTGGCTACTCGTTTTTCAGTGAGACCAGTCTCGTCTCTTCCATTGTCACCATCAACACTCGTTCAATCCAAGACGTTTCATCACCTTGACAAAAATGCTATCAAACACTCCGTTGTCTGCTATCATCGCCGTGGGGCTTCTCAGCTCCGTATCCGTCAATGCCGTCGGCGCAACTTACGATCTCATCAAAACATACCAAGGCGAAAGCTTTTTCAATGATTGGTCTTACTAGTGAGTGAACACGGACTGCGCAATCTATCAGGAAGACTGACCAGGTAGCTCCGGTAGCGGAAATTATGACAACTTGACGAACGGCGACACGACATGGGTCAATAATACAGTCGGAACTTCGGAAGATCTGACGTATACCACTTCGGGTGGCAATGCCATAGTCAAGGTCGACAATACGTGTATGCACTGTTATCTATCTTATCAGGTCCCTCCGTTACTGAGATGGGTGTTGCAGCTACTGTCGAATACAATTCCAAACGAAACTCCGTTCGTCTTACTTCAAACGATGCCTATGAGATTGGAAGTGTATGGGTCATGGACGCATTGCATGTGCCTTACGGATGTAGTGAGTGTTAGAAGCTTTATGCTGGTGGACGACATTATTGATTCAAGGATGTTTTCTGGCCTCGTGTAGGTGTGTGGCCGGCTTTGTGAGCAACCGTGACATCGAGCTAGGCTTCGAATTTATAACAGTGTGTTTTCCAACAGCTGGAGTACCGGAGTCGGTGCGACATGGCCTGCTACCGGCGAGATCGATACGTTCGAAGGTGTCAATAATCAGGCGGGCAATCAGATGGCACTGCACACAAACGATGGGTCAGTCGAAGACGCCGCGACCGAGAGGGGTCACTGCTGACTATTCCTTCCCTCAGGTGCACTCTAGTCAAAGATTCTTCCGCTCCGTTCACTGGAGCCGTAAACTACACCGACTGTTACGTGGAAGCAAACGATAACTCGGGATGTACTGTCATCGACGGCAATTCTACAAGTTATGGGGAGGCTTTCGCGACTGCTGGCGGGGGCGTCTGGGTGACCGAGTTCGCGACTACTGGCATATCGTATGTCTGTCTAGTCACCGGTTTCCTCCAGATTTTGCTAATGTTTTGCTTGCGCTATAGTATCTGGTTCTTTTCCGTAAGTGACTTATATTTTTGTCTCGCACAGGGAATTTACCCTTTCTGTTCTAGCGGGCCAATATCCCCACTGCCGTCTCGAGCGCAAACGCTTCCATAGATACCACCAAACTGGGCGAGCGGACTGCATTCTGGTCGCCGAACGGGTGCGACATCTCCACCTACTTTAAACCACAAGAACTGGTCCTGGACATTACCCTCTGTGGCGACTGGGCTGGGCAGGCCTCTACGCTGACGTCAACCGGATGCCCGGCTTTGACAGGGACAAGTACCTGCTACACCACCTACGTTTTGGACTCCAATAACTACGACACTGCGTATTTCGAGATTCAGTACATCAAGGTGTACTCTACATCATCAGCGACCAATGCCGCTGCTGTATCTGCCACCGCGACCCCAGCGTCCAGCACTTCAAAGTCATCAGCCACGTCTTCATCAGCCAGCGCCTCCAATAAGCGGCTTTCCCACAGCCTCTGGAATGTCGCAGCTGTCGCCATGTTGGGCATCCTCGTGGCGCTATAGAGCAGGTCTCAAGCCAAAGAAGCCCTCATAAGTATAGATATATACCCTAGATACCTCATACAACATAGATGGTGCGAAGACCAAGCCGCTCCTCTAGTGGCTCACATGTGCATCCACAACTTCCCATCCAGACCCGGAGCGCTGCTTCATATCGGCAAGGACATCCCTGTACTTGTGCCACCACCACTCATGGACATCCGCATATTCGGTCCCCGTCATCGGCCAGCTGGCAGTTGGACCCGGCACAACATCCCATGGCTTGTCGAGACTGGGATCCAGGCATCAGTGAAGTATATACGATTGCGCTCCGGTGATGACTTACATGTAATGTATATTCTTCAAGTCGTCATCCTTCCACAACGACTTGTGTGCCGTGCGAAGCGTTTTCAGAGCATTATAGATGTACGGTAGTGGGATCCATTTGTCGACAAACACTGCGGCGAGCGCATCTTGATCTGGAAAGCGGTAGCCAGGCACCTCCGGCGAGGTGTGGATAAAGTCGATGATCGTTTCCAATAACCTCATTGACGGCGTCAAGACGACAAGGCCAGAGTTCAACAATTTGTGTGTTCGAGAGGATGTCGGCGTGACCGGTGTCGCTTGCAGAGATCCTTCGTTGGATGAAATAGCAGAGTAGGCGCAGTTTTGGGGTGTCCTACGCAAAGGAAAAGTGAGCGGACCGAATACTACGACTTGCCCAAACGAAAACTAACCAGTCGGCTGGGTAGTGCGCAAATCGACGGGGATTGCATGTGCACGCATGGCATGCTGCGATAAAGTCGTCACCAGGCATGTGCATTTCCATTAATTCGTCCATGTTCTGGAATACTAGCATGTCGCAGTCGACGAGAATGACCCGCTGTATACGATCCGAGAGTTAAGCAAGCCGGGTGGATTCTCTGCTTGCCAGTGCAACTCACGTCAAACTGAACCAACTCAAATGCCCTAAGCTTCGTCCATGTATCCCTGAAGCGATGATCGCTCTCCACCAGTGAGTGCCGCTCAGCTGCAGGATAAATGGTATCAACATCGACGACTGGTATTTCGGCCGATGCAAGCACATTGCGACAATCATCGGTCAATTGCGGGGTTGCCATAACAACCAACGGGTATTTCGATCCAACGGCTTTCAGAGTGGCATTCATGACCAAAACGCCTGCAGGAGAGAGCTGTCAGCTTGCGGTCGGAAAGCTGTTTCACGCTCCTTACCTTGTAAATAGCTAGCTTTCGTCAGCAGAGTCGCCCAACAACCCTGAACCAAGCGTTGTGTGTTCGACTTTGCGGCTGACCCAGTGCGCCGGGGTCCATAAGATGGAAGCGTGGAGCTGTTGAGGTGTGAAACCATTTTGACTTCGGGGCTACCTGATGTTGAAGTGACAGGGCTGGGTAGAGCTGGTGCACGATCCGTTATTGCGATGGCCATAGTATATGTTGGGGGAAGCGTTGTATGGCTAAAGTGGGGACTAGTGGGAAAGGTTGCTATTAGCTGTCTTCACGATTTGTAGCATTGCTGAACAGGCTGCTGAACATCAAGATCAGGAGGACAGAGCGCATCGACACCCGATCCCCGAACACATGCCGGTTCGCGAAATGTCTACGACGGCTTTACAAATCACAACGTGCTGTTTCGCTGTACCGCCCACGTTGACAACCGCGATCCGATCTTATCTTTTCAGTCGCCATTTCGGCAGCAAATTGTCTCCAGGCGAACCAGGCGAAACACTTCACTTCGCGGCGCGACTAGAATTTTGCGAAATAGACAGCGTGTCTCAAAGGAGTCTTGTGTCATGCAAAAAAAAAGCGCTTTGACCTCTCACGTTTCACCTTCACAAGCTCCTGCACTACATACAGATGAAAAAGCTGATGAAAATCGCACGAATCGGACTGCAAGCTGCAAGAGTGCGTGTACGCGCTTCTGTCACTCCTCATCTGCATACTTTGCGATAGCTGCGTTATGAGCGCTGATGACCGATCCTTTGTTTTGGTTTCAGAAGGCCGCAATAGCGAAAAACGATGTATCGCTGTATTCCAATGCCCGCAACAAAGTCCTTGTTCAGAGCGTCGTAGCTCAGTCGGAAGAGCGCTGGGCCCATAAATTTTCTTCGGTCACCCAGAGGTCCCTGGATCGAGACCAGGCGACGCTAGTTTTTTTTCCTACCTCAACGGGCCCTCAAGGTTTCAAGACGAGTTCGGGAGGTGGTTGCTGCTCAACGTCGAATCTGCACATAGTATCCAAGAAGAATATCACCGAAAACTGGTAGGTGACGAGCATGATCGTCGTTATTGCTTTTGCCTCTTCACAAATGCGTCCAACGGCCCGGAAGCCGAATGGCTGGATGTTGTAGCTTTTCGTTTTCCACCTGTACCATCCTTCACGTCGTTTCCCTCGCCCTCGTCCTCGTCCTCTTCCTTCCCCATGGCTTGCTTGAATTTCTGCTTGAGGGTCTCCTCTGCTTTGCCATTCATTACCTCTGGAGAATTGCCATGGAGACCGACTTGGAAAGCGATCTTGAGCCTTGCAATGCAGCGTTCTTTCTCGGCCTTTTCATCCAGCATTGGAGAAGGGTAGTCCTGCCCAATGATGCATTTCGCTTTTTGTTGAACGCCTAAAGGCGCCAAATGCGGTGCGTAGATGTACTTTAGGAAACGCATTAGTAAAGGCGAAAATATCAAGTTTCGAGCTGCTCACCTTGTCTGGCATATCTTTCAGCTCAGGGCCTGCGTATAGAGGCAACAAGACTTGTGAATAAGAACGCCGGGTAATCAGATCCCCAGAGTGCGATTAGCTTACAGTACTTCCGCACCAATGCTCCGGTCTTGTCTGTTTTCAACGGCCAAGAAACCAATCCGTAAACTCGGACTAAGTTGTCGTAACGAACGGGTGAGTGTGGGACAGGCGAAACATCAATGGACCTGAAACGCCACGTACAGTATTGAGAAAAAAAGGCAGAGCACGACAACCACATCCAGTTCCCCGGGTTGGAAGCTGCGGCAGCGGAGGGCGTCAGGGTCGCGAACCGATCACTGCAATCGCCCGACGTGACATACCTGGGTCCCAATCCAAAAGGTATTCTGCAGAGTGATATCCAGCTGATCAGTAAATATTCGCCCACTCGAGTGCACGTCTGCTTGGTGAGGCAGACTCACCGTCAAACACTTCGGTCCCCCGCTCCCAGGAGATGTAACACTGCCCGCGCGTAAGGAAGCATGCGACCGAATGCCGTGCCAGATGATGTATCCAACCTTCCTGTTTCACTGTTGCTTGATCTCCATCAGTACATTACCATTGGCACGGGAGAGCACGGACGGGGGCCTACATTGGCGCATGACAGCATCGATCCATCTGGAGACGATTCCAGATGTCAGTCCGTGGAAAGAAGAAAATGGTGATCGAACTTTACTAACGGGAACCCTGTCTTTCCTTCCTTCTGCAGCGGCAAAGTGTCAAAACAATGCGTCAGTTCTCAAGGCAGTCCAGCGACTCGCAGAGTATACACCCACCCATTTGAGGAACCGCTCCTCATCCTGTGCTTTTCCTGGTGGTCTCGGCATGATCATTTCACCCTTTTCGTCATATTGGTTCATCAAAGCCCAATTCATAAATCTGTAGAAGTGTGAGAAGGGTCACTTTTTTGATCCGCGATATGCGGGAAACCAGACTCACTTGGACAAAGGATTGCCCCTGATGCGATCGTAGTTTGGTGTCGCAAATTCCGCACAGTAGTACATTTCGCGGAATTCGAGCTGTTCACACATCACTCTAAGTCAAGCCATCACCTCCAGCCATCTACCAACATACCTGCCCAAGGAGATTCTCTGGTTCTTTGGTAACAATTTCTCCCTTTTTTGGCTTGTAGGTGTCGATAATGTCTTTCGCTCTCCAATAGAAGTCTCTGACGCTCAGACATCCAAACTTGAGGTACGGACTGAGTTGCGTTGTACTCGGTTCCAGTGAAGTGGGCGCGGAAGCGGGTTTAGAAAAGGTAGCAGTCCTTGTTTTGTCCGCCAGGAATGCTTCCAATCTCTCCAAGGCTTCAGTTTCTCCACCATGTATCGAAGTCGTCGCTTCAGGCAGGCCAAGCGACGTAAGAGTGGGTACAGCAAAGTCTTGATTGGGCCCGGATATACTGTCTGCAGAGAAACTCAGCCTTGTGTCAACTGGTACAGACTAAGAGCAAAAAGTCACACCGAAGCAATCAAATCGATCCTTGTCCATAATGTCGTGGTTAACATTTTCTCCTTTCAAATGAGCAAAAGGCCCATCCATCTTTGCGTTGGCGTTCTGTCCATCGAGGGTGGGTTGGTTGGCGGACGGCAAAGCGAGACTACCCGGATCTGGAAGTGACATAATCGTTGGTAGCGGTCGAGGTATCTCTCCAACCTTTGCTGCTGCCTGTCGACCATCATCAGCTTCGAACCAGTCGACAACACAAGAAGCGGAGACTCACCTTCTTCCAAGCAACTAATGTGCTGATGCATTTACCTCCATTGCCCTTCTTGACAACCACCTCGGGATCTAAAAGGTTGTGACCATCTTTGACGATAATCTGCAATCCCGGAGCTTCACGTTTGGCGACTTCGATGATGTTCTCGTCCCTCCGGCGTGCTACGTGATGATCTTGTTCAGCGAGTCGGAATTCCAAGGAGGCAGACATAGGACTCACCATATGCTGCCGTATCCTGGGAGAAGCGCCAGTCAACGTCACAATCAGAAGGCTCACTGCGGGTGTGAAGAGCTGCCCACCTTCTCAAACACCATGTGCGTGATTCCCCATTCCTTCCATACTACGGGAAGTACTTCTTCGGGAGATCCTCTCAGGACATGCAATCTTTGCCGGGAATTTAGCTTGGTCAAGCTTTCGGAGACGTCTTCCATGGATTGAAGAAGGAATTGCCATCTACGACGCAAGTTCACGTTATCTCGAGAGAGACAAAATCGCCGCAAGGACCTACCGGTTTACTCCTACTTTATGTTTCCACACATACTGAGGATCAAAGCACCACACCTATGTTCAACAAGAGTAACGGTCAGACGGTGCATAGCTCCAATAGGAACCGTATCTTACAGGATAAAACGCCTCAATGTTCTCCAACCCGAGCGCAGCCGTCAAGGCAGGAGAGTCGTGTAGTCGAAGATCCGTTCTGAACCAGTAGAGCACACGGGCCGCAGGAGCGTTCGACACGAAGTTTGACATGGTGTGTGTATAAGCCTTAGTGTCGAGTTGAGGCGATGGTAGGGAACTTATAACTCGGGGGGTTATAATCAATACTTAGTCGGGCAAGCGCCTGCAAAAAGACATGAATCAGATAAATCGCAAGGACCGACGAATACAGGTCTGAATGATCGACTACTCGATCGGCAAACCAGAGTGACTAACGGGAGATCTAACGGGATGTACATTTGAGAAACGGCGTTGTGAAGGTACTCGGAAAGAACCCGGTCGAAATAGACAGCTAAATAAGCCGGAGATGGAGAAGGGGGCTCGTAAAGGCAAAGCTTGAGAAGATTGAAAGAATCGCTACGGCAACCACCTCGGCAACCTCTTCTGGGTTTAATAAGCTGCTCAAAGTACAGTTTGCCGTCGCTTCTTTCCCCGCGGTTTTGGCCGACGATAAGAATACCGGGTGAAACTTTTTGTGACACACAGCGACAGTCCGAAAAAGCGTTTTGTATCAAAGCGCGTCTTGGCACACGACCGAGTCATTGATATAGATAATAGATAGTAGATCTTTGCATACCACATACTGTCTGCATACTCACCTCGAAAGACATAAACAGTCGACAGCGCGTACCAAAGCCTCGAACGAGGACACTCGAAAACGTAGCTGAACACTGCAGGATAGGCTCGGCCACTTACCCGCACTAGCAGGTCATCGACGCCCTTATCTTAGATAACGCCAAACTGCTTTACCGTGTCATCCTGAGCAGCTCCACGGCGAAGAAATCCACTAAACCTATTAAACCTGTAAGCAATCGTTCCTCACCTCCGTCTGATGTGAAAAGCTCATCTTTCGCGACTGACCATCCGTCCGCTCTTCGCAAATCAGGTCCACTCCGCTTTACATTCAGCAACGCATACCGCCAATCATGCCTGCCTCATACTGGCCATTCAACGCTCTCCCTCTGCCGAGCTTCTCTCGTTCATCATCCACCACGCCTTCAACCACCTCCATTCTCTCCCCAGCTTCAGCTCGTAGTACAAGCCCGTCAGACTCGTCGTTCCCCTTTTTCTTATCTTCCCCACCCGGACTCAGCTCAAGCGGTACTCCATCGACTCTCATTCACGATGTAGCCTCCCGTGGACCGCTGACGCCTGATCAGGTGATGGAGATGGAGGAGGAGGACCTATTCCTCGTGGATCGAGCGTTGATGGATTTTGCTGCCGGCGCCGCTGAGCATGATACAGCTTGGATAAGCATGGAGAAGGATATCCGGGTTAATGCGCTGTGGGTTCACCCTATCAAGGTGAGAGTGTAATTCCAGGGCAGCGAAAGAGTGGTTCTGACCGACTTGCCATATTAGAGCTGCCGAGGCGTGTCTTTGCTAAAGTCGATAGTCACCCCACAGGGATTGCAGGTAAGTGACACTCAGAGCTTTCTCGACCGCTACAAGCTGATACAAGCCTGACATCCTCTTGCAGTACGACCGCCAATGGGCAATTAGGGAAGTAGAGACAGAGCAGATGTGCACAGCTAGGGAGCACCCTTCAGTAAGCCTCGCGTCGCGTAAATCATATATGCGCCGTACTAATCAGAAACCGTTTCCGATAGATGGTTCTTATCATTCCGGAAATCGACGAGGCGCACAATCTTCTGACAGTGACGTTTCCCGAAGAGACTGGGTTGCCTGGATTTGCTGTCAGGCTCCAGGTGAACGACTCAGAAGTCCGAACTTGGCAACGGCAAGTCCTAATGATACATGTCCACCGACTTGTGCTAACCGTATGCGACTATCTCAGTGTGAGCGCCACGATCATGCACAAGAAACCACTTCCGCCTTCCTATCTGCCCGCCTATATTCCGATCCCTGGTACAGTATTGCCAGACACATTCTTTCCTTCGCCAGACGAACAGCTTTCGATCTACTTTTCGAAACCTGTGCAGTTTATCCAAAAGTCGCCCTTTATCGAGGATATCAGGACTC